GCCTCAAGCACTGGGCTGACTTAGAGGCAGGTTCAGAGGCAGTCAGGCTGGGTGCTGACCTGGCACCTCCCCTGACCCAGAGTAATGCCTGAACATAGTCTCCAGCTGTTTCATTTTTTTCAGGCAACCAGGGCACTGTGGGAAATCATCCGGGTGCCCTTGTCCCCACAGGCATCTTTTGCGGTCCCCTGCCTCTTTGTGGCTCTGCTTGTCCAAGTCTTCTGCAGCACAGAGCAGATGCCAAGTAAGATCAATTTCTTCTGGAGGAGATGCCGGCAGAGGCACCACCATCCTGCCAACCCCAACAGGTGCTCCATCCCAGTCCTTCTGTCCCTCCCATGCCCCTGGGGCTGAGGCCAGGGCTCCCTGCATTACCTGATCTGTGCTCTGTGTACAGGTTTGCAGTACTGACGGTGAAAGCGCTGCTGTGTCGCCTCCAGCTTGAGGATGTGGTGCTGGCAGTTGAACGTAAGAAAGGCTGGGACACCCTGCTCAGCACTGACACCCACTGCTATGCAGTGGGTCTGCTGGCCAGGTGAGATCTTCCTTCTCCTGGCTGCCCCCATCATTTCTTCCCTGCAGACAGGGAGCCCCACATAGTCCCTGTTGCCATAGGTGAGAGGGACTTGTCACCAGGGGATGGCCCAGCAGACAAAAAGGCTGTGAGAGGCAGGTGCATAAAAGCAGCCACCTCCCAAAACATCAGCATGCCCTCCTGTGGAGCCTGGACTGATGGCACAGAGCAGGGGGTCTGTGCAGGCAGCCCCACTGAGGGCAGTCTGCTGGGGCAGGGCAGGTTGCACTGAGGGCCAGCGACAGACCCTGGGGAACTTCCATAAGTGTTTTTCCAGTGTCTTTCCAAAAGCAGCCTTCTGGTGTTGGGCACTGCCTTTCTCTTGGTGAGGGGTGGTGGTGAAAGATTGGGACTCTGGGAGTCATCTTGGTAGAGATTTGCCCACCCTGCTCAGGGCTGATGGTGTCTTTTTCCTGCCAGAGAGATGCACCGTGTCTCCAGGCCCATGCGCGAAGGGATCGCACGCTACCTGCTCACACTGTTCACCAGGGAGGAGTCACGCTGGAGGGTCCCTGCCATGGCATTCCTTGTTGAGGTGAACCCGGTGGAGAGTGCTGCCTCACTGAGCTGCCTTCTGCCACTCTGCCCTCTTGTAGCCACTGCTGTGGGGGGAGCGCAGTCGGTGGAGCTGGGGCAGAGGAGTGGCTCTGCTGTGTGCCCTTGGCCCCTTGCTGCTGGGGTGACTCTTGTCTCCACCTGTGTTTCCTGCCAGCCTGGTACCAGCCCTCGCTTGAGGTATGGATCCTCAAGGTAGAGGAATCTGAGGCTGCTGAGGGCAGGAGAACACAGCAGAGTGGGCAAGAGATCTGCACAGGGCAGGGAGCCCAGGAGCTCTGCACAGCCTTTGGGTTGGGCTGGCTGGAGTGCTGCCCATGACCCACGCCCTATGCAATGCTGGGGTCCTGCAGGCCAGGTGCCCCACTGTTGTGTGATGCAACTTGTGTCTTTCAGATATTGAACTGCCTTAAAACAGAGAAGCTGGTTGACACCATCCTGCAGCTCATGACAAGTCACCTGCAAAGTGACTGCAAAGAAATGCATCACCTGGTGCTCAGAGGCCTCCTCATGTTCTGCAAAAATCCCTTGAAGGTGAGAAGGGGGCCAGCTGCCTAAGGTTGTGCTGGCATCGTGGGGCTGGGTGAGGAGTGCTGGGTAATGCAGTACCTTAGAGTTGGCTGGGCTTTGGGAGCTGTGGCAGCTACTCTCAACAATCCTGCCTCCCCATTCAGGTGCCTGGTTCCTTTGGGGCAGGCCTTTGGATTCTGGGCCCAGAGGAAGCAGCATGGAGCTGCACCACCAGAGTGAATTTTGTGGAGCAGCCTTCCATTGTATATCAGCATATCACTGTATTCCACACAGGCCAAAAGGTTGCAGAGCCTTACTAAAAACCTCATGGAACTACTGAAGGATGTAGATGGGGAACTGATTGAGTTGACCCTCCCGGTGCTCAGCAAGGTGCTCCTGGACAGAGATGTTCCAATCGCTACCCCCATTGCTCTGCAGCTGGGTGAGGCACTGCTGCCACTATTTGACAATGTAAGAATCTACACCCCCTACCATGGGTGCTACGTGCTTCCAGGAAATTTTGTGTTGTGTGGATTTTGAGGCCCAAGCCCAGGTGTGTCTGGAGCAGCCAGTGCTAAGGTCTTGCCCTCTTTCTTTCCACAAGGACGCTAGTCGAGTGCGACTGCTCTCCATTCACCTCTTTGGAGACATGATAGTCCATGTAGAGAAAGAGGGAAAAAGGCACCTGAAGACATGCGTGCACCAAAGTCTGCTCCCACTCTTCTACCACCTGCATGATGAGAACCAGTGTGTGGCAGAGGTGGGGACTCTTGAGCTGCTGGTGTCCCCATGGGAGGTGGCTCAGCCTCCTCCTAGCCTTGTGCTGAGGTACCATCTCTCAGTCTCTGCTGCTCTTCAGGCCTCTCTGGAAACTCTGCTAAAAGCAACCAAGTTCCTGAAGAAGAGGAGGTTCATGCAGCTGTTGGAGAGGGAGCAGCCATGGAGAGTCAGTGAGTGCCTAGTAAGGACAATTCCAAAGCCCCAAAACCATCCTGAAAAAACCCTCTGCCCCTAATACCCAGTGGTGGGGCTTGCAGCTGTGCTCCTGCCCACTGCTGCGTCCATTGCTAGCTGATTAAAAAGAAAAGCTGTGCCAACCCTTCCCTGTTTCCCCTTGTGCTCTCTCCAGCTGTCAGAGGGCAGGAGGACAACAGACGAGTACCGGCGTCAGTCCCTGACATACTTGGAGAGCTCGCAGGAGTCCATGAGAGAGACAGCTATCAGATTACTCGGTGAGCCAGAGCCCCAGTCCCTCCCTGCCCCACTGCAGCTCAGCCTCAGCCCTGGCTGCTGCACTGGCAGCAGGATTCAGCTCAGTAGCTCTGGCCCCCAGGCTCCAAGGAGAGGGTCATTGTTCCTACCACACTCTCTCACCCCTGGGTGTCATGATCTGGACCAGCCCTGGACTCAGCCCAGACAGAGGAGGAGGGTGTGTGGCCAGGCTGGCAGCACTCGTTTTAGGGAGCTGTGCAACTGGGGCTATGAGAGGCTGTGTGTGTTCGTAGGGCTCGCTGGACAGCACATGAGGGGACAACAGGAAGAGTTCCAGAACATCTGTGATGGTGAGTGAGGGCGGTGGGGTAGCAACAGGAAGGGGTAAAGAGCCTGGGCAGGGAGCTGCAATCCCTGACCCAGGTGGGAAGAGCTCTGATCCTTGTGCAGGTAAAGGATGTAGCAGGGCAGAGCAGAGAGAGATTTCAGGGGCATGTGAGGTATTTGTGGCCAGCACCTACCAGCTGATCCCATTGGTACCTGCTCTGTCCTGACCATGGGAAGAGCTGAATGGGATGGACCTGCCAGAAAAGCTCCAGAGGATCTCATAAATCTGGGGGCTGATCTTGGTGCCATTCTTCTGTGTTCCAGCCCTTGCAGGAATGACAAATGACATCAGCCCCTCCATCTCAACCCTGGCAGATCAAACACTGCGCATCCTAAGAACTGCACCAAGACATCGATTGCCCTTCAGATTCCAGCTGCTACAAGACAAGCTCCAGAGGATATGGAGGAGATAGCCTTCTTTCTGGGTCAGCAGCTTCTTGTGCTTCCCAAGCTCTAATCAGAGCTGATCCCGAGCACTTTATCTGCTAGGGCCATCTAAGCCTTCTCAGAAGGCCAAGAGTTTCCTGGGCTCTCCTGAACCACAGGATAGCTTTCTTCCACCCTGTCACAGGAATATAAAAACCATGTTATCATACACAGAGGGTCAGGAGCTTTTTATTTTGGTCCATGGTATCTGCAGGGTATTGGGGAAGAGGAGAAAAAGGGTCCTTGTGCAGCAAACGACCTAGGCCTGCAACATGGTAGAAAAAGTGGCCAGAACGCCCTTGACCCTTTGGTGGTTCAGCTGAAGCTTTAATGTTTCTGAGAGAGCTGATGTTCTGATGAGAGCAGATCCAGAGATGTGGGGAATCCCTGAGAAACTTGTCCTAGGAGATGTTCACGAATGGCCTCCCAACCATGAACCACCATCTGTGTCCTACCTGGGTGCTGCTGGCTGGATTTTTGAGGGGTCTGAAGGGCCATTTCATCTGGCTCCTGGGAAGCTCCTTCAGGGCTGTACTTCTGCAGGGTGGGTAGACCAGGTGTGGGTGGTGGAGGGTGGTATCACAAAGTGGCAGATTGTGGCATCAAGGGAAAACAGATTGGAATGTAATGTCCCTTCCTGCCTATACTTGGGAACCAGCAGAATCTGGGGAAGTTCAGCTCAAACCAGGACTCCTGCCAAGCAGGACTGCTAATGGAAGCAGCTCCTGGTCCTCAGCTCTTCCCAGCCTGCTGCAAGAAGCAGGTATGGTCACTTGGACAGACTGCACCTGCCCTATTTGCCAGGACACTTGGAAGGCTGTGACTGCTCTGCCTTGTTGATATTAGTTCTCCCTGGGCTTTATCTTGTGGTGGCCAAAGAGAAATCCATTGTACCCATTCTGCAGAAGAACAATAGAGGCTGTCAGGTTTTCTGAGAAGGACAAACAGGACTATCTACAGTTTACCATCATCCAAAGAGTTGCAAGAGGTCAGCAACCTGGCAGGAATTGCTCCCAGCTACCTGGCTGAAAACAGCCCCTATCACTCTGTGGTGCCTCCTCTGTCTTCTCCACGGGGGACACTGTCCGCAGCGGAGCAGGGGTTTGCAGAGCCATAGCCTGTGAGTGGCCTCCTGCCCGAGATCTAGGCAGAACTTTACAAAAGACAGTGTCATCTTTGGGACCCCATGTGGCCTAGGCGGTGCCAGAGGCTGCATGACCTCTGTGCCTATGGCCCAGATGCCAAAATCTTGGTCCCAGTACTACAGCCTCTCCTCGATGTATATAGTGAACCTCTGGGCCATGGCCTTGTCAATGTCATTGTTGGCCAATGGCCACTGGGGTGATGGTGCCAGAGAAGTCACGAGTGAAAGATTCACCAGACTTTAATCAACCTCATAGCTAATCATATGTCAGAAGTTTTCACTGTTTAAACAATTGACTGCGATAAAATAGCAGTTAAAAAAAAAAAAAAGATATGGAAAGAAATTAAATCCTTCACAGCTGCTGGCTTTCCTCATGCTCCACGGTCTATGAATACACTAACTTCATTCTGACACAATCTTAATTGCACTGCCTTATTGAAGGCTGACCACAAAGCCTTGTATCTTAAGTGAGCACTAACTAAAATCAGCTCCACTGAAGCATCTTCTGCTGCTCAAGTGTAGCAGAAATACATGTTTTCTGCTTGGTAACTGCATGGCAACAGCTGCTGGTGTGGACTTGTCAGCACTGCTTCATGGATTACTCCTGACAAGGAACTGTGTGCAACAGGCACAGTATGATTGCTTTTATCTCCTTTAATGACTTCAATCAAAGGATGGTCAGAGCTTTAAGGCGAAAAAGCATCATGACAGAATAGTTGCCAATATCCTCTGAATTACTCCTATGGTTTAGATTTTCTAACTGATTAGGTTCGGTGTCTGGCCTTAAGAAATCAGTCTAAAAAAACTGGCAAACCTCACCTTGCAAGTTAGAGTGTCTGATCTTTCTGCTGCCTTTTATGCAGGATACGCAAGTAACTTCTCAACATATCTGCAAAACTATCTATTTGTTCTTTCTATACCTGCCCCAAATTTGACTTTCCATTCCCTTTATTTTGATCTGAGATCAAACCACCTTTATTTCTCAACAGGGAAGTAAGAACTAGATGCAAATACAGGCTATAGGTGGGAAGCTGTACTGTAAGTAATAAGCTGTAATTTGAAATTAAAGGCAAGAAGTGGTGCCCTGGGAAATATGAATGTTTAGTGCTGACACAGGAGCCTTCTGCAATGCCCTGCCAGCCCATGGTTCATGTTGCTATAAACTCTGTATCTGGTATTACAAAGAGTGTAGAAGAGGGACTATCAGAAAAAATATAGGCAAAATGTTAATTTTCTTAGTACAGTGAACAATGAATGTCTAATATTACAGACCTCATAGTAGGGAGTATTCACGTTTCCACTCAATATATGGTGGTTTTACTTAGAAATCAACAAGTCTGTATGA